ATGGTTGTGCGCAAATTTTATGCCAACGTCAAAGAACATGTGAGCGGTGTGTGCATAGTGTGCAAGAAGAATGTGGACGCCTCTGTTGAGGCCATTCGGAGAGCATACCGGCTGCCCGCACCTGTGGCGGAGATAGAGGATTACTATGAATCCTATGGAAGACAATACATGGGAGTTATTCTTTGAAACAATTTGTGTGCATGGCAAGGAAATTGTGTGGATGAAACATGAGTGTAAGCTCCATTCAAAATGGCACTCACTTTGAAGGGAAGTGTTGGATGTATGTCATCAACAACTGTCTGCTCCCATCCTCCAACACCACGGAAGTGAATGCTCCTCGAGTTGCATTGATTTGGTATTTTATGAATGACCACAATTTTGACGTGGCCAAGCTTATTCACGAGGAGATGTTTAGTCATTGTCCAATGAAGAGGGATGGTTTCTTCTTCCCTTCCCTAGTCACTAGGCTATGCCGGGCAGCTCGGGTGCCGGAAAACTTAAGCGTGGATGGAAAAGTGCCGAGAGAGGCAAAGTTTCGAGCGGATAAAGTGACTATTGGGAAGTAGCTTGTGGCACCTAGTGGTGATAATAGTGATGACTTGGATGCACCTGAGGAGGGAGAGGATGAGCAGGAGGAAGTGGGAGTTGAGTCGCCCACTTATGAGCATGTTGCAGAAGTCGTAGGACAATCTGGGGTTGGTTGAGTTCCTTGGTTAGAAGCCTTAGAGAAGGAGATGACAGGGCTGCGTACTACGGTCACTGACTTGGGGATGAGAGTTGATGCTTTGTCCACCCAGAATGCTAAATCAGATAAGAGAATCATCGGCTGGCTGCGTGCTTTGAGTCGGGCGTGTCACCTTGACCCTGACACTGTCTCCGATCAGGACTGATATGTCAGGGAAGTTCCTTTACCTCGCATTTATTTATTTTGTATGACATGGGGACATGCCATCTTTTTAAGTGTGGGGTGGGGGATACTTCATTTGTATGTTGTATATATGTAGGAACATAGCTTGATTTTGGTCTTTAGTTAGTTGTCTAAATATGTGATTCGACTTGTCCCAACGATGGATATCACTCGACGGGTTTTTTGAGGGTCTAAGTCTATATAATTAAAAAAAGAGAAGAAAAATTTTCTTTTGTAGGTAGTGTATCAATCCCCCCTTGGTTTTTCTTTGGACCGCGGTTCTTTTCCAAAGTTTTTTTTAAACCGGGTGTAGTTATTTTTTGTTTATTATTTTTTTATTTTTAGGTACTTATGGGCTATGAGCTGAGATGGAAAGAGAATCTCTTAACACTGTTATGCCTTGAATACAATAGACACTTTAGTGTGACGCTTAGTCTCAGTTGTTGATTCTTGTTAGAGTGACTTAAATTGTATGTTCTTAACTTGACTTAAGTAATCAGACGAGAGTGTTTTGATAGGCCAATCTAGAGTGAGTCATGTGCCATGTGTGTGAGATTTATTTTATTCTGTGCACTGCATTTGATGCCTAGAACTTGCCCTGTGTATTTGCAAAGCGAAAATAATAGTTTTATTCAGTCTTGGAAGTGATATAGGCGTTTCTTTATTGAACCAGATATGTATATTTTACCTACCTAATTGTTATATACCGTAGTTAACTTCTTTGAGACTGTAATCAAGTTTTCTTAGCAACCACATTATGAGCCTTACCCAATTGTTTGAATGAACCATTTGTTTGAACCCTTTCATCTCCCATAAGCACCTGAACTATGATGAACTGGTAAAAGTTAAAGTGTGGGGTGTTTGGTTTGACTTTTGAGTGGAACTAACGAAATCAGGAGAAAGGTGCACAATTTTTAATAAGTAAGAGCCACTTGAATGAAAAAAAATGAAAGAGAGAGAACAAAATAGTTACATTGTTGTGAAAAAATAGTCTTTGATAAGTAGTGGCTCTTGATTAAGTGTGCCTAAAGAAGCAGAGAGTTAATATATATTGATGTAAAAGGTGGAGTCTTGGTTTGACATAAGTGTGGGGTTATGAATGTGAAAATATATGTACTAAAGTGCTTAGGGAGGTGTAGTCACTCTTGTATCCAAAATGTATCCTACCCGTCCTTTAACCTATATTACAACCAAATAAAGTCCTACTTGACCCTAGACTGAATGAGCTCGATTAGTAGAGTAGTACACTACGGGCAAGCCTATAGTGCATCTTTTGTGGCATATGAATGTTCTTTCTGAGAATGAGTAAATTATGTCTATTTGAGTTCCTAATTGTTTTGAATGTTTATTGCTTGTGGAACTACTCTCGTTTGCGATGTGAAGGCACTTGATTCATGAAGGAAAGGTACATTTTGACCTCTGTGTAGAGTAAGTGAGTAAGTTAGGAATATTGCGTGGCATGTGAGAGTCAACTCTTGAGGAAAAGATGTTACACTACTGGACTAAATCCGTATGGTATGTTCTTGGTGTGATACGTTAGAGAAGTTGCTTGGCGAAGGAACCTCTGTAGATTATGGTTGATTGCTCTGGGACGAGCAATGGTTTAAGTATAGGGTGTTGATAATAGGCTATATTTATGTAGTTTAGCGACTATTTATGCCCCAACTTGACTATGCTTTATTGCTATATGAACGTTAAATGACAACAAATGGCTCTAATTATGAATTTTTTGCTTTGCAGGAGCAAGTCTTGATTATGAAGACATTGAACAGTGTTTGGAGCTAATTTGGAGCAAGGAAAGCCAATCGGAGGTGAATGCGCATGAAAGAAGAAGGAAAAAAAATAGAAAATAGCTGAACTTCATGAGGGCGGGCCAAGTGCAGCCACGCTCGAGCCGCACTCGTCAGGCAGAACAGGATGCGATATGTGCTGCCCGTCACTTCGAGGAATATTATTTTTAGGGGTAATTTCGTAAGTTAGGGGGCAACTCTCCTTAACATATAAGAAGCCCAGGTCGCCCAAAAAGAAGGTATCAAGGTTTTTGAAGGATTATTGAAGGCAAGAAGAGGCAAGAGGCAAGGCGAAAGATTCAACATAGAGTTTTACTTTTCTTCCTCTTGTTTTGATCATTAATGATGAATTCTACTGTTATGATTGTGAAAACGATTATGCATAGCTAAACATTTAATCTAGGGTTTTGATGGAACCTCTTGGAGGATGAATTTCTGATATGTTAATATAGATTTGCCTTAATAATTTCTCTGTTTGTTCAACTATTTTGTGATTGATGTTGATTGAAGGGCCCTCAATCTGTTGTGCCTATTTAGTATGCATTACTCGGAAGAGAGTGTATATTTAGGTAGTTGTTGAACAACACCCCTCCTAACATATATGAGGGATCAATACGAAGGGTTTAAAGGTGGGATTAGGGATAACGAAACCTTGGGTGCGATCTAAGTGAGTTGTAACTAAGGCCAACTAGCGTAATTCAGGAGAATATGTCTAGTATATTGTTGTAATTATTCGGGAGAGAGTTACGACACTCAGAGTGCTCATGATCGATAGAGAGAACTTAGGAAAATTTATAGCAAACATAGCGGAAAGGATTCCGACAAGAGGGGAAATCATAACCTTAGACCATTCTCATTCTTGCTTACAATTAGTCTATAGCTAGTCTTAATTTACTGCATTTTTATTACATAATATTTAGTTAATAAATACCCAAATTTCTACTCAAATGTCTCTGAAGATTGAAAACGTGAATTTCTGTGAGTTCAATAGCTGTGATTGATAGGTTAATTCCCTGTGGGATTCGACTCCAGACTTGTTAACGGAATATATTTGCAGCGACCGCTTTGTCCTTTTTATAAGGCATAGTTGGGCGTGATCATTAATTTACTGAATTAATTAATTAATTAATTAATTAATTGTAAGTCATTAGTATGAGCATGAGACTAGACTACTTGTGATTAAGCTAGGTCTAAAACAAAACTTAATACCGCTAGTTTTCCTACTTTGACTGTAGAAAATATTATATATGCAATAATTACTAGTGCAATATAATTAATTAGGAGGAGAAAAGTAAACCTAAGCAAGGGAAATCACTAAGCAAGCGTTAATTGTTAAATTAAGTGTACGAGCTTGTGAAACCGCGGACTTTCTGTGTATGCCACGGTCACTGATGTGATCAATAAAATATTAATCCACTTATAATTAATTGTGTGGCATGTAATGTAAATTCTTTTTTCTCTACCATCCATTGGTAATTAAGCAGCCTAATGTATGACATTTGCTATCCGGTCCATTTGACGTTTCAGCTTGCATAATCACTCGGTTGGATCAGAGGTAGAGGTGAACCCAGGATTTGAGCGCGATGGGATACTATTGTATGTTAATCATCAGCGATAAAATTTTTTTTTAAAAAAAACTCTGTATATATATATATATATATATAGATATAGATATAAAAGAAAAAGAGATTTCTTCGCAAAATGGATACTATGAAAAGAGAAGGAATAAAATTAATTAAGTTGACTATTGTCTATTAGCACTAAACAATAAATGAAATAAAAAAAATTGCTATTAAATATAAATTATATTGTAATCAAAGAACTAAAATATTAATTAAGTTAACTATATATAGTAGTACTAAATTATAAGTGAATTCAAAAAAAGAAATAAAAGTAAAAGATAAAGCAATTTACTATTAAATATAAATTATATTGTACTCAAAAAATAAAAATAGCACTACTAGAAAATGAGCCTATGAAAAATAGCAACGATTAAGGAACCGTTGCCATAGAGTGGATATTGTAATACAACCCGTTACAGTAGCATTGGAACGATATCAGCACACTTTAGCTGTTAAACCGTTCCTATTGCAAAATTACCGTTGCGATAGGGTTTTTTTTCATAACGGTTTTGTGAACCGTCCCAGTAAATCTGTTTACGGGAATGATTTTTGATAAAAATATTATATCAGAACGGTTTTTTTCCCCTCATTTTTTCCCTTAAAGTTTTCTAAACTCGCCAAACCCTAATTTATTTTATTAATTAATATAAATTAAATAACAAAAACATTCCACTATCGATAACTCCAAAGCTATCTCCCAATAAACCCATTCATCTCCCCAACCCCTAGAACTCAAAGGCATCAACACCGTACCTCGAAAGCTCTCAACCCCTTTCATTGCTCTTTCCTTTCACCTTGAGAGTTCCATCTATGGCTAACCCTAAATCCCCAAATCCTCAAATCAAATCGCTGGCCTAGCCCAAACCCCCAAAGTCTCAATCCTTTTCTGTTATTCGAAGAAGAGAAGGCATCAAAGAAGAACAAAGGAAAAATCTAAAAGGCACGATTAAAGGTGAGAAAACTACTTCAATCGCGAGAACTTTTCGACCCAAAAGGCACTCTGTGAGAAACTAACTTCAGGTGTAAGAGTATTTTTTTTATTTAATCATTGTTTTTTCCTTAATCCTTAGGGTGTGAGCAATGTATTTAATTTCTTGCTTTGACTGTAATATTATTCAAGAAAAGAAGCACGAAAAAATTAAGGGGCTAGACTTTGCTGTATTACTTATTTTTTAGGGTTATTTTTGAAGCAGAAAAATCATATTTTTATGGTCTTATTAGCTTTGTGTATCAGTTTATTTTTTCCAAATGTTTAGGTGTTTATTTTTAGTTTCTGTTTTGTAGGGAAGGAGGAGGGGGAGGGGGGATAGGGTTTGGTGGTTGTTGAAAAAAATGGTTTTTTTGGTAAAAGGTATGTTGGTTTTACCTAAAGATGTCTGCATTTTGATGGTTTTATTAGCTTTATATAAGTTTACTCTTTGCCAAGATTTCAGGATTTATTTAACTTTTGTTTTGTCAGAACATGCTTGTATTTTTTATTTTTTTGGTTGGAGAAAACATAGAACATGTAGTGTTAATAGTACAATGGTATAATGCTGAAATTTTCTTGTTAAAAATTAGGTAATGTTACTAGAAAGAAAGCAAATAGAATTAGAAAATCTCCAAATCTTCACACTTTCAAGAATTGGTGCCTTTCTGTTATCCGCACTTGGAAGACAAGAATAAATAAGTTTGCCTTTCCTGTAGCATGAGCTATTAAGTTGGGTAGTTTGTATCTAAGTTTGTTTTTGTATCTATGACAAGCTTATTTTCTTCCAAGTATGCAATTCCTATTAGTAGCTGACTATACTTCAGGAAAACCAACATCCTAGCTATTTTGTTAATAGAACATCAGAAGAAAAAGATATTTTAATTTCCTAAGGTGGCATTTGATGGGTTTGGGGTTTGATTTATATTTGGTTTTTGAAGAATCAGTTTTGATTTTGGCTTTTGAAATAATATGCATATGTTGGATTTGTTTTTATAAATCCCTGAATTCTTTTTCTGAGTTTTTTCTTTTCTTGTTTGATTATTTTCTTCAATTTTTCAGAGAATCTTGAAATGACTTTCTGCATAAAAAAAAAGAATTATTTAGTAAATTACTTAATTGGTTGATAATGAAAAATGGGAAGTTCAAAGATTGGTTGTTTACCTGGTTTAGAAAGAATGTGTGTTGACCATTTCATTACTCTTTTATACTAGAACAAAAGGATAAAACTTTTAATATCATCAAGGACAGGACATGTTCCTCTATGATATCAGTTAGAGCCTATGGTGGAACAGTACTTAAACATCTGAACAATAAAAATAAAGTAATTGAGTGAATGGTGAAACATTATATGTTTTTCATTTTTGTAAGCTTACAAGTTGCAAATTTTGGAATAACGGGAAAAACGTACGTAGGAAATAGGGGTAATACTAGCAGTCTAGATAAATGTTTCATGAGATATTATTTGACTAGCTAAAGTAGTAGTGATACATAAATGCATTTCTTAATTCTTGAAATTTCTTAGTCTAAGTATGGTTCTTGTGCCATCTTTTTTATCAAAAAAATATTTTTAAGCTGTTTGCTTCTTGAATATTTGGCTTTAGAGTGTTGTTCTTTGATTGAATATTAAAAAGTTAGTTTGGTTCCATGTTTGTAAATTTATAATGTTATCTTAAACTTGATCATGCCTAATTGAATTCAAATTTAGCTGTTGGGTGTTACTTGATAGGTTAGCTGATATTGATGGATAAATAAACCCTAGGCATATTTTCAATACGCTGCCATAAATTTAGGATGGCGTAGTGGCTAGAGAACACCAGAACAGTGATGGAAAGCTAGAGTCATCATTAGTAAGAAGAGTAGTGTCACTCAAATGGTCATAAAATTTAGGTGAGGACTACTAAATTTGTGGATCAATTGGGAATTTTTGGTAGGGTAGGCATAACAGCTTAAGTCTCTCTCAGAATACTATTTTAAAGTATAAGAGAATAAAAGAGAGTACTTGCATAGAGTATTAGAGTTTATTGTTAACAACATACAAGAGGCTTTTTATACAGAAGTTTAAGCTATTAAAGATGAGGAATTTTTATCCAAGTATCGGGGTACCCAATTATTACAATAGTTGTTTGACGGGGGAAAAAGATCCTATTACTACTTATATGAAATACAGATGTATTTAAAACTTTAGTATTTTGGCTGAATGAATTTTTGGTAACTAGCCTAAAAGATATCCTGGACTTGTTGGGCTTCCGTATTTTGTTTAAACAAGCCCAAATTTTGTGCTGTTTTTGGTATCTTCTTGGTACTGTTATTGCATACAAATACTTCACATTATCAAGTAAAAGATACATCACAATTCAGAAGAATATCCTATAGTATTAACCTATATGCATAGAGTGATTCTTGAACATTCTAACATATACTTACGGCATTCTCTTGACTTTCATTGGCTTGTACTACTAAATTAGTTGCTAAGAGGTTTTTAAGGAAGGAATAATTATTTGCTGGTTCAAGTGAGGAGTTAGAGAAAGGTTGACAAGCTTTAAAGAAATTATACACATACGAGAACAATAGTCTGGTCAGTCATGTGTTTACGTCCGTGTTTAACTTTTGGATAGTGAAGATTTATGTGGCATGCCACAACTAGCTTGGATTGAGATAGTTGTATATTGCTTTTGGATCAATTATTCTACTAAAAAGCCTTCACTATGACTTGCATATGCTAAAGTTTTATTATCTGGAAAAGAGATTTGGTTTTCCTTTTAGGTAGCTTTCATATGTCCTTCAGTGGTATCCTTAAGGTTTCTGATAAAAGCTTGAATTTCTTTTGTTTTCCAGTAAATTAGTTTCTCCTTAATGGATAATTCCTTATTTATTTTGAAGTTGATAACCCCTTTTGTTTTGCAGTAATTTAGAATGTGACTGCTCTCAATTTGCCTGAATATATATATGTTTACAAGTTTGGTTTTGATGATTTGGATTTGTTACTTAACTTTGGCTTCTTCATTTGTGTTAACTTGTTTCTTTCTATCTGTTAGATTTTTTACATGCAACTGACTATAATACATTTGAAAACTTTGTGCTTTATCCATTGTTCATGGACCATACCCATTCTTATAATGATAAACCAACCCTTGAAAGGTAATGACTATATTTATTCTCTTTTGTAGGTGGAGCAATTGAAGAAAGGGAAGATGGAGTTAGTGAAGATCTAGACCTTACTTAAGAACTTTGAATTGTTGTCGATGTTCTAGGAATCTTTTGTTATCAACATTTGAAACTTACTCTAACTCAATGTAAAACTTATGTGATTGGGTTAAAACATTTTGGTTTTATGGATATATTAGCTTATTGGACAATATAGATTATGAAGTATTTTTTTCTTTTTATTTATATAAATTTCAGGTTATTACAAATTTATATATATGTAAATATTCATTTACAACCAGGGCATAATAATCTAATAAAATTGTTGCAATAATCTTGCAAACCGTTCCAATAGGTCTTGCAAATCGTTCCAAAATGTGCGACAAACTGATGCAATAGGTAGTTAAAACCGATGCAATATAAATAAAACCGTTACAGTAGCGTAATGAACCCGTTAGAATATCTGTAAATAAATGTTGCAATAGCTTACATAACCGTTGCAATAATTTCCAACCGTTGTAGTAAATAATATGGTAACAATTTTCACTCGTTGTGAACTCTATGGTAATAGTTTTTAACCGTTGCAATTGGAAAGAATACTCGTTGCTTCAGGCAGAGGAAAAACCATTGCGATAGATCGCCCTATATGGTTTGGGTAACCGTTGCAAGAACCGTTACTCTAGATCTATTGGCACGCGAGCGGATGTAAAGGTAGCTAAACCGTTCCAATAACCCTATGGCAACGGTTTACCTGTCAGTTGCAACGGTTTTAGGGCCGTTGTCATAGGCTGATTTTCTAGTAGTGTAGAAAGTAGGGAAAAAAAAAAGCTAAAGGGCCAAAGGGGGTTTCGAACATACGTCCCCAGCAAAGTTGGGAATTTAAGGCCCAAAGCAACCACTTCTCCCATCCACCTCTATATTTCTGGGGCACACTTAAAATATTTAAGGGATCCTATATATATATGTATGTATATACATAGTTTTTACATACAGAGTTTTTGCCGAAACTAACGGGATCGCATGACCCCTCACCTCACCACATAGGTCCGCCTCTAAGTTGGACTATAGGAGCATAATGACACAACAGGATCTGTCGTTCGTGTTCGAATCAGAGGACAAGGAGTTTCACATGACTTTCACTTAATTACAACTAAAGTCACTAAATTATTTTTTGTAACGTAAAAATCACTTTACTTTGATCGAATATCACAGAGAGTTACTAAATATTTTTTGTAACAAAAAAATCATACTTTGCTTAAGAATCACATCAAGTCATCAAGCAATTTTTTTTAACCAAAAAGTCATTCAACTTTATCTAAGTTTCATATAAAATATTTCTTTGTTTCCTCTTAATGACTTTTCATGATACTTAAGCAAAGTAATTGAGTGACTTTTTGATTACAAATAATAGTTTAGTAACTTTTGTATACGTAGATAAAGTGACGTTTACGTTACCAAGTACGACTCCCAATATATCATCACCAAGGCAATGGAACTAAAAGTTTCAGTTTTATTGTGCAAGTTGAACATTCAAAATATAATTTCATGTTCCAAACATGAAAAGGAATTTTATATGGCACATTGGTCCTACAGCTTTAGGAAAGGTGAGCCAATAGTGGTTAGAAGAATTTCTTATGAATAAAACTCATTCTCCTTTATTTTGTTATCAAACCTTTCAATGTTCTCAGCCAAAAATGAAGATACACTGCAAACCACAAAATGAAAAACTAGTATATAACTGGTGAACTTGATTGCTACTCTGTTTGTGCCGTTTTGAGTATCTTAGTGCAGACTGTAGAGTGGTTCAAATTGTACCGGGGTAGTAGGCAATAAACTATATAAAAAAAAACACGTACTGAAGAATAATAATTCAGTCATCTCATCCATCATTTCTCTTTAATTACGACGTCATGGAGCTGACTTAATAATTGATGTATGATTCATAAACAAATGTTTAGATCCTTGAATAGTCAGAAAGCCAATCTTTCTCTTTTGTTATATATAAGTCATCTTCCAAGCAATCCCTTGGATTTGAAAGTCATTGCTGTGCCAAGTATGGTCCGCAACGCCATAGAAAATATTGGTATTTTTAATAAATCAAATAGATCTGATTTATATACACCGAAAAGAAAACGAGAAAAAAGAAAAGAAAAATGGAGCACCCATTTTTGAGATACCAAGCGTGCTCAAAGAGAGTGAAGAATACATGCTTTACTTAGTCAGCAAAATGTATTTAATAGATACACTCTAACTTTTGTCTGTAAGAAACGATCGGACAAATTTAAGGGCCGCATATATATGTATTTGGTCTTTTTTCTTTGTTACGTATAAAATATACACTTTGCCTCTTTGTACTATAACGTAATTTATTGATGAATACATCATCTTATTGAGTCACACCCATTTGTATGCCCACTTCTATCGACAAGAATAAGAATTAGTGTAGCATTAATATGTCATTAGATTCGTTGTCATATGCACCTCTATGCTGGCCAAACTTCATCAATTTTCATTTCTTCGAAATTTTCTTTACAAGTGATTTTGCAGTATTTATGAGTTGAAGCTTGATGATCTTTGCATCAAATGCTCTTTACTCGTGCTACAGACAACTGTTGATTCAGATCAAAGTTAGTCCCAAGCTGGTGAAATTCTTCCAAATATGAATGTGATGACCCAAAAGGTCATCTTCTATTTTAGAATCCGATTTCGTATTCCGAGGCCTTGAAAACCTCATTTTATCTCTCTTTGATTTGTGTGCACAGTCCGAGCGTGTATCGGAAAGCCCTTACATGAAAAATTTAAGAAATGATGATTTTTGGCTTAAAAAGATGATTTTTGTTGACTTCGGTCAACGTTTTGGGTAAACGAACCCAGACCCATGTTCCGATGGTCCCGGAGGGTCCGTAATAAAATATGGGACTTGGGCGTATGCCCGGAATCGAATTCCGAGGCCCCTAGCCCGAGAAATGAATTTTTGAAGAAAATTGATAAGACTGAAAACGTAATAATCTAAAAAAATTGATCATGTTGGTATCAGGCCTATATTTTGGTTTTGGAACCCGTTATAGGTCCATTATAATATTAAACCCTATCTGTGAAATTTGGTGGAAAACAGAAGTGATTTGATGTGATTCAGACCTTTGGTTGAGAAAATAAAAGTTTTAAAACTATCTTGAAAATTTCATCTGTTTTGGTGTTGAATTCATAGTTCTAGATGTTATTTTGGCGATTTAATTGCATGAGCAAGTTCGTATGATGTTTTAAGACTTGCGTGTATGTTTGGTTTGGAGTCCGAGGTCTCGGGTGAGTTTTGGATAGGCTATAGAGTGATTTTGGAACTTAGATATTTGCTGTTGTATCTGGTATCTGTTGCAGACCTCTGATCTCGCAACATGCTTCACAAATGCGAGCATAGTAGGCATGGCAATTGCGAGGTCTTTATCGTAATTGCGAAGAAGGCCTGGGCCAGCAGAGTTTGCAAATGCAAACATATCTTCGCAATTGCGAAGAGACTCGGGGAAGGGGTGTGATCGCAAATGCGATCTTTTTGTCGCATTTGCGGAGGTCCCTGATCGCAATTGCAATCATTACCTTCGCAATTGCGAAGGCAACAGAAGTGTGGGGAACTTTGCATTTGTGATGGTTCTTTGCATTTGCGAGCTTCGCATTTGTGAAGCTCAGGTCGCAAATGCGACATCTGCAGCTGTTCAAAACATAACTTAGACGTGATTTTTCTTTCATTCTCCCATTTTTCAGAACCTAAACTTCAAGAGGCGATTTTCTGAGGGCAAATTCTTCCCCAAATCATAGGTAAACGATTCTTAACTTATTTTTTTCAATCTATTTCATCTTTTTACAAGATTTCATCCTAATATCTAGGGTTTTTCATGGTGAAATTGGGTGTTCTTGGGTAGAACTTAGAAATTTCGAAATTTGGGATTTAGACTTCAAAATGAGGTCGGATTCCAAAACCAATTGTATATCTAGGCTCGGGGGTGAATGGATAATCGGATTTTGATCCGAATTTTGAGTTTGGATCAAGCGGGTCCGATGTCGATTTTTAACTTTTTGGGAAAATGTTGTAAAATCTATAATTATGCATTTGAATTATTTTCTTTAGCGTTAATTGATGTTATTAAGTTAATTATAAATAGATACGAGTGTAATGGAGGTAGAATCGAGAGGTAAAGCGATAATTGAGCTTTGAAATACCCGTTGGCTTGAGGTAAGTTTTTGGTCTAACCTTGACTTGAGGGATTAGGGATCCCCAACTTACTTGCTATGTAAAATTCCATGTGTGTGGCGTATAGGTGTGGTGACAAGTACCAATGCGCCACATTTTAGCCTGTTCCCTTCCCTGTTTCCTAATATGTTGTTTCCTGTCTTAATTGTTACTTGCTCGTAAATGTTTCTATGTCTAATTGCTTTATGTTAACCGTTGTTTTCTCTATTGAAGTATTAATTGTTCCGTAGTTTCATTTTATTACCTTGTTGGTTGAAGTTGGTCTGTTGGTGCTTCATGGTAAACCTTGATTGGTCTCGTTGTGTAGTATTAACTATTGAAGTTTCATAATTGTACAGATCTCCCATGGTTATGATTTGGGGTATAAATGTTGTAGAGGGTTTGAGCTATACTGTGAAACACTTGTTCTTATTTTGTGATTGGTACTGATATGTGGGATCGGGTTGCACGCCGCAATAAGAGGAATAAGGGTGAATGTGTTGTCTGGTGGGATCGGGTTGCGCGCTGCAACAAGGAGTAATAAGGGTGGACAGGTAGGATCGGGTTGCACACCGCAACAAGAGGAATAAGGGTGATATATTGAGGAGTAATAAGGGTGGACTGGTGGGATCGGGTTGCCTGCGCAATAAGGAGCAATAAGGGTGAATGTTTATATTGTTACTTATTATATGGTGGGAACAGGATGCGTACCGCATCAATTGTTATTTATGTGTTCTTTTCTGCTGAGATTCATTATTGTGGTGTTGAAACTCTCTTAAGGATTGGTTATAGCTGAGTATTGGTAGAAAGCCTGGGTTCCGTATTTGTTTAATGCAAGTTACTGTTATATTTTATTCTGCAATTCCTTTCTGTCTTAGTATAAATTGTTGAAGGTTATATATTGTTATGCCCCGCCGTAGCCTCGTCACTACTTCATCGAGGTTAGGCTCGGCAGCCGTAGCCTCGCCACTACTTCGTCAAGGTTAGGCTCGTCACTTACCAGTACATGAGGTCGGTTGT